GTTTATCAAATACTTAAATTTGTTAGTGCATGAGGTATTTTTAGTGAGGAGAGAAAGAGAGAATAATAAAGAAAATAAGGATGTATTGTTCAAGTGTACAAATAATGATACACACTGTGACTATTTATATACAACTCTAATTGGGTTTGGGCTAACACAACTTGGATTATATTAAATATTAAATCTAATCAAATATAATCTAATCTAATTTAATATTTCAACACACACCCATAATCCAAGCTGTTGAACATCCTCAAAAATAGTCAATTTGAACTATTCCTAATTTCTTTCTCAAATTCAGAAATCTGTCGATCTTCAATCTTTTGGTGAAAATGTCGGCCAATTGTGTTTCACTTGAGCAATGCCTAACTTCAAGTTCACCTTGATTTACTTTTTCCCTCAAGAAGTGAAACCTTCCTTCAATATGTTTACTTCTTCCATGCAGAACTGGATTCTTCGCCAGATTTATGGCTGACTTGTTGTCGATTTGCAATACTAGAGGTTTCTTCACTTCGACAGTCATTTCTTCAAGTACAGATCTGATCCAAATTGCTTGACATGCAGCATAGGATCCCGCTATATATTCAGCTTCACACGATGGCAATGCCACCACAGGTTGCTTCTTCGAACACCATGAGATTGGGGCACCAAATACTTGAAAGAAATATCCAGTTGTGCTTCTTCGATCTTCCTTATCTCCACACCAATCAGCATCAGAAAAACAATTAACTATTGCTTCTTTGCCTTCAGAATCTCGTCGAAATAGTATTTCACAATTTATTGAACCCTTCAAATATCGAAGGATTCTTCTTGCAGCCTTCATATGTGACACTCTTGGTTCACCCATATATCTGCTTACTAATCTGACTGCGAAACCTATATCAGGTCGACTATTGCACACATACCTCAGAGATCCCACAATTTGCTTGAACAAAGTTGCATCGACTTTGTCTTTCTCTCCATTCTTCTCCAACTTCACATTTGGTTCGACAGGTGAGGATGCAGGATTCAAATCATCCATTCTGAATCTCTTGAGTATTTCTTTGACATACTTTCTTTGATGTAGCACCATACCTTGCTTCGACATTTGAAATTCCATGCCTAGAAAATAAGACAAATTTCCTAGATCCGACATTTCAAATTCCTTTGTCATCAGCTCTTTGAACTTCGACAAGTTTTCCAAACTATTTCCAGTTACTAGCAAGTCATCAACATACAAGCATATGATTGTTATATCTTGTGCCACAACCTGAACATAGACACCATACTCTGATTTGCATTTGAAAAATCCTAATTCGACTAAGTATGAGTCGATCTTCTTGTTCCATGCCCTAGGTGCCTGCTTGAGGCTATAGAGCGCTTTGTGCAATCTGTATACTTTACTCGCTTACTTCTGAATCACAAACCCAGGAGGTTGTGTGACATAAACTTCTTCATCTAAAGGACCATTCAAAAATGCTGATTTCACATCTAGATGAAATGTTGACCAGCCTTGGTTGCATGTCAATGCTACTACTAGTCGAACAGTCTCTAATCTTGCTACTGGAGCAAATACTTCAGAGTAGTCAAGTCCTGCTCTTTGAAGAAAACCTCGAGCTACTAATCTTGATTTATGTCTTGCTATTGACTCATCTGCATTGTGTTTCAACTTGAACACCCACTTTACTTCGATAGCTTTTGTATGTGTTGGCAATTCGACTAAATCCCATGTGTTGTTTCTTTTGATTGCCTGTAACTCTTCGACCATAGCTAACTTCCACTTGTTAATCTTCAAAGTTTCGCTATAGTTGATTGGTTCAGCACCTACAAGTAAATCAAAATGAACTAATTCTTCATCTGGTGTGATTTCATCATCACCCATCACTTCATAATCATGAAGTCTTGTTGGAAGAACTCTATTTCTTTGAGGTCTTTGGCTTGTTTCAGCCACAACCTCATCGACTTCGACTGTGACGGGAGTGTCAACAATCGCTTCCTCTTCGACTTCGACTGGATTCTCAATAATTTCTTCGACCTCTACTTCATTAGTTTCTTCGTCGAAATCAAAGTTCATTAATGATTTGTTAATTGAATTGCTAGAATTTCAATCCCAGGCAGAATTTTCATTATCACAATATCTCGACTCAACACAATCTTTTCATTAACTGGATTGAATAGTCTGTATGCACCAGTTTTATGATATCCTACCAGAATCATAGGTTCACTCTTGTCATCAAGCTTCCTTCTCCTTGCATCAGGAACATGCTTGTAACACATAGAGCCAAACACCTTCAAGTGACTTACTGATGGTCGTTTTTCACTCCACACTTCTTCAAGAACCTTGTTCTTCAATATCTTAGTAGGACACCTATTCAAAATATAAACTGCAGTCAAAACAGCTTCTTCCCATAAAATTTTGGCAAATTCTTTTGCTTCAGCATGCATCTTGCCATATCTAATATGGTTCTATTTCTTCTTTCAGCAATTCCATTATGTTGAGGTGTGTAAGGAGCAGTTACCTCGTGATCAACACCATGTTCTGCACATAAATCTTCAAACATCTTGGATGTGTATTCGCCACCTCCATCTGTTCGTAGAACTTTAATCTTCTTCTCACTCTGGTTTTCGACAAGTATCTTGAATCTCTTAAAGATTTCAAATACTTCGTCCTTTCGTTTGATCACATAGATCCACAGCTTTTGACTAAACTCATCGACAAAGGAAATAAAATATTTGTTTCCACCAATTGTATGTTCTTCAAATGGACCACATACATCTGAATGCACCACTTCGAGAATGCAGGATGATCTCATTAACATAGTTGAAACGGAAGAATTTCTAGATTGCTTTCCTACTAAACAACCTTCACAAAGTTTTTCAGGCATCTCAAGACTTGGAATACCAGTAACCATATCTTGAGTAATCAGTTGATTAAGTGATCGAAAATTCAAATGTCCAAACCTCAAATGCCACAACCAACTATCCTTGTGGTCGACAACAGTTTTCAAACATTGAACTTTTGTCGAACTGATCATAGTCTTAAATGTCCTGTTCTTCGACAATGGAGATTTTAAAACCAAATTGTTCTTAGTGTCGAACAATTTCAAAACTCCATCTTTCATGAAAACTGAGAAACCTTTTTCAACTAGTTGTCCAACACTTAACAAGTTGCATTTCATTCCAGGTACATAGAGCACATCTTTTATCATATCTTTCCCTTCATTACTCATTTGAAAGACTATGTTGCCAGTACCTTTTGTTTGCAACGAACTATTATCAGCAAGTTTTACCTTGCTCTTCTTCGACTCGTCAAAATCTGCCAACCACTCCTTTCGACCAGTCATGTGGTTCGAGCAACCTGAGTCGAGAAATCAGATGTTAGATTCAACATAGTTATCTACAACTGCAGCCATAACCATCACACCACCTTCAGAATCATCTAAATCTTAGCATGCAAGGTTTGCTCCTTCGTTCATGCCTTTCGATCCCTTGTCTTTTCTGTACCAAAAATTCTTGGCCAAGTGTCTCCACTTTTCACAGTTATAACACTGCATACCTTTCTTATCTTTTTTGTCCTTTCAATAGTTTCCTCCTCCCATTTTCGAGGATTCAGAAGATCTATCTTCGACCTTATTCTTATGGGAATTCGACCAAGACTTCTTGCCATGAGTCTTGTCAAACTTGCCTTTGAATTTGTTGGAACCACCATCTTTTTTCCATGATTGAGCTTGTAGTGCCTGTATCGAGTCCTGGACTCCTTTCCTTTCGATAATCCTCATCTCATGCGCCTCCAACGAACCAACCAAATCTTCCACTTTAGTGGTTTCAAGATTGTTGGATTCTTGAATAGCTATGATAACGTGATCAAAGTGATAGGTCAACGTTCTCATTACCTTCTCAACTATCATCTTATCATTAATGGTTTCACCACAATCCTTCATGAGATGGACGAGTTTCTGAACCTTTGACACATATTCTGCAACTTTTTCATCTTCTCCCATCGACAACAACTCATATTGTCGATGCAAGGTTTGTAATTTGACAACCTTGACTTTCTCACCTCCTTCGAAATACTTTACCAGAATATCCCATGCCTCCTTCGTTGTTTCAGCATGAGAGATTATGTCGAAGTTAGCAGCATCGACAACCGTTTGAATGCAATAAGCAGCCTTGCAATCTTTTTTCTTGACTTTGTTGTGGGCTTTTTTTCTGTTCTTCGGTTACATTTATAGCCAATGCCGGAACGCCGTCGGTAACCACTTCTAGGGTTTCATAGAAGCCAAATAAGGATTGCATCTATTTTTTCCATCAGATCCAATTTTTATCGTCAAGCATTAGAAGAGAATTTGGAATACCCTTATCACTAGCCATCTTTGCAACGGTTGATTTACTTGCCCTAGAAAAATGATCTCTGACGTGAAATTCTTGAAAACTTGATCAAGAACAATAACCGGAAGCTCTGGATACCAATTTGTTAGTGCGTGAGGCACTTTTAGTGAGGAGAGAAAGAGAGAATAATAAAGGAAATAAGGATTTGTATTAAGTGTACAAATAATGATACACACTATGACTATTTATATACAATCCTAATTGGGCTTGGGCTAACACAACTTAGATTATATTAAATATTAAATCTAATCAAATCTAATCTAATCTAGTTTAACATTTCAACAAAATTGACAGGAAAAAAATCAACAATATCAAATGACTGAAGTTGACAAAACTTTTGCATGACGGTATCCGTAAACTCATTTACTTTTTCCTTCTTATTGGCATTTCAGACATATTAATCTCAAACTCCATAATGGAAGCTATACAAAACAAACCATTTAGTATTACATCAGACATATTCTAATAAAATTACAAAGCATCTGAATATTAGCTGTATGTTTCAATATTAAAGAGCATCTTCATCAATTCACTTAATGAAGGGGATAGTTTAATGTCTGTATTATTTTATTCGTTTTTTAGACTTGTTTCCCAATACCGCTCGATGTCGTTTAGTGTTCTTTCGTGATGGTTTATGGTGGATCTCGTGGGATGAAGCTTTCGTGGTAAGCTTCTTCTTCTCTTTCGTAAATCGTAAGAGCAATTTCCAACGCTAACCCTCAGAAATATTTAAAAACCGTAAATAATTAGATCAAAAAAAGCAACAGTTTAACAGCTTGCTGAGTGAAACACACTTACCTAATAATCTTTTCATGGTGTATCTTGTGTGCATAAGTGAACATTTCATTTGCCTTATCACTACCTCTTCCAACCATGAGTAAGCCCTATTGATTCCAGCAGCTTCACTCACAACAATGCTATCAGTGTAGATAACATTTTTTATTCCTTCATAAATATCCTCGTCAGCAGATATTTGGCCCAATTTATAGCTCTGCTGAACCAATCCTAAAATTTTCAAGGGGCAAATATTTTAAGAATGGGAAATTATAGGGAAAGAGAGGGAAACAAACACTATGCACTAATAACTGACCAAATTTTCCCGTAAATTGGATTGAATCAACGATTTGAGAGAGGGAAAACAGGATTGGATTGGATTATGAGTCGGTGACGGAGTTTATGGAGAAAGAGAGCGAGTGTCGAGAAAGAAGAGACTAGAGTGAGGGTTTTGGAGAGAAAAAAGTGTTGAAGCGTGAATGTTTGAAGATGAAAAGTCTAAGTAGAGAGATAGAGAAATGTGAGTGATTGGTAGATGAGTAAAGGGTTCTTCAATATATGTAACTCCAATTTTCAATATGACTTTTCACTATTGAATACATAGAGGAGAGTGAAAACTCCATTTAAGTAGATATAATTCAATGGTAAAACTTTTATAAAGCAAAGCAAACAAAGGATACATAGTCCAAATTACCTTTAAAATAAAGTTAAAATAAACAGTTTAGTGATGATTTTCAACTAATTAAATTTTAAAAGATGAAAAATTCTAACTAATACCTCAAAGTACTATATTAAAGATCTTAAAATAATAAATTTTTCTTAAAAATCTACGTATTTAATGTTCTATGTATTGAAAATTAAAATGATTAAATTTTCTATAAAATACCCTTAAAAGGTAGAGATAGATTAGATGATTTTTTTTCTTACCATAGGCGTACTTGTTAAAAGAGGAGAGAGAAAATCCATTAGAACAGTAATTAACTAATTATCTTGTACCAAGGAATTCCAAAAAAAATTTACAACACTTTTCATTTCGTTATTACTACTAGTATTATTCATTAATTAACCCTTCCCCGCACGGTCTTAATCATCATCAACCTTTCATCTCCGACCCTACACCATGCCATCAACCTTCAACCCCTCTCTCTCTCTCTCTCATCATGCAGTTTCTTCATCTATGCATTTTCATCTATACACCATTTCCGCATAATGTCTTATTTTGCTATTCGCACCTCTTAAATCAAACTCATGAATCTCAATTCTTCTTTCCTCTTAATTCCACTCTTCCGAACAATACCATTGAAGCGTCGGTGGTTGTTCATCGGAGAAGAAATTACAAGTCTCATCAGGACTTAGAAAATTATGCTCTTCCATTTTCACATACTGTGTCTGAATCTGATACTCATTCTGAAAGTGAAAACAATTACTCATTGAGGACGGCGAAGAAGATGAAGAACCATCGAACTTCAAAAAGCTCTGATTTTGAAGAGCCCCAGATGAAGAAATCGCGGCTTTTGGACTGTTGTTGTTTTCTTCGTTCAAGATTGCGCTTGAATCGCTATCCGAAGAACCGTCTTTCAAATCCGCAGGAAACAGAGAAGCTACTACATCGGTGTTTTTGAAACAGTTGTAATCGGTGTCCTTAGAATCGGATCTAAGAATAGCGGTTTCATCGGATGTAGTGTTTTCTGTTTCTTGCAATGTTATTAACTCTTGTTTTACACAAACATCACTTTCTGTTGTTGTGTTTTCTTCTTCCAATTGTAATCTTGATTTCAATTCCTTAACCTGCCAAAATAAGCACAATTCAATTTTTTTAATACTCTTTCTCCAAAAGGTTCACAAGTTATTTCTTGATTTTTTTTTCCATAAACATATTAATTTCTTTTTCAAAAATAATACTTTTCTACCCTAAAATATAAAATATAAGAACCATATTGCGGCAAATTAGTGCGACTACAATACTATTAATGTAGAAGTTTTTTTATCACTGGAAACAAAATGCTTGATTTATTAATAAAATTATATTTTTAGGGAGTGAGTGAGTAAGTACCTCTTTGAGTAAGGTTTGATTATCACGTTGAAGTGACTCATAATTAACCTTAAGTGCATCAAAACTAGCTTTAAGAACTCCATAATCTCTCTCCAACTGTTTAGTTTTCCATCTAGCACGACGGTTTTGAAACCAAACCGCAACTTGTCTTGGTTGCAACCCAAGCTCTTGTGCAAGCTTCACTTTCCTATCTGGTTCAAGCTTGTTCTCAACTTCAAAATTCTTCTCCAAAGCCTTCACTTGATCCACACTCAGTCTTCGTTTCTTCTGCCCCACTTCCTCAACACACCCTTCTTCATCAAATCCTTCTAACATCGACTGAAACACGTTGTTGTTGTTGTCGTTGCTGTTGTTGTTCCTCCTCGGACTATGTTCCTCTATGTAAATCAAAATTAAACCAAACATAAGTACTTCATGGTAATAGCTATTACTAAGCATTAAGCAAAAAAAATAAAATAAATTAAATTAAATTAAATTAAATTAACCTGTTGTAGGACAAATTGTGATGAGAGCACCTAGAGATTCAGAGCTGGAAAGTCTCTTCATGAGTACTTACTTAGTAAAAGATTAAGGTTGTTAAAATTGATTAGTGAAGAATTGAGATCTGAAGAGAAAACAAAGGTTTTGTTTTGTTTTGTTTAACTTAAATGGAGAGTTTAGGGTATCTTAAACAACGCCAATTAGCACAATTGTTTAAGCAATTACTAAACAAAAACAACCACTTATCACAACCATTAATAACAACTTCCATGTGTTTACTACCACCTTTGTTTTTTCTCACCTCTTCTTCACCCATCAAACAATTCCAACACAACACAACAAATTGAACTAGTGACAACCAATTAATATGTTTTCTTTTTCAGACACAACTGTTTTTTTTTATTTTTTAATTGTTCTACATCATTACACTGACAAATTCTTATAGGTTGGAAAATAGAGAGAGAAACATAGAAAGTGGAGAAGAGAAGAAAAAGAGAGAGTTTGATGGTGAAGGGATTCACGGGCAAGGTTAGATATTCAGAGTTTGTGAGTATAAATAAACCCAACCTGGGTTAAAATTTAACTAGGGTTAGGTGACTGCTACTATGGTTGGCTTGGATTGGATATGATATTGGATATCAAATGTAATGTACTTCAAATTAAACTTAAATGCAGTTTATTTAAACCGGTTGAGCCGGTTGCTCTTCAAGGAACACGCATTTGTATGCAAAACGGCGTGGCTTTCTTCGCCAGCTGGAGTACGCCATTTGAGCCGACTGAAGATTTTTGTTTCCTCAGGTTTTACTGTCATCAAATAAAATATAGTATTAGTGGATTTAACTCTGTCAGAATTTTTTATTTTCTATAATTTATATTTGTTTATATAAGTGTTTTGTCATAACTAACAATGAACAATCATATTGTTTAAATATCTATTTTGCAAAAATTTCCAATTCTTAATTAAAGATTTTTTTTATATTACTCACATTTATATTTTTTTAACTCTATTTATAATGTTCTTCTTTAAATATAAATTCTATTTTTGAATATTTTATTATAAGTAAGTTGATCTCTACACTCGAATTAAAAATTCATGATATTATTTGTTAAAGCAATTTGATGAATCAACATGACATAACACTTTTAATTTTGGAGATTTCTTTTTTATAAATACACAAGTCTTTTTATTTTTAGTCAACGTAAGATTTCTAACACTTAGAATTTTTTTCCAATAATTTGATGGTATAAGTAACTGTTAAACATGAATATAGTCTTAGAGTTTAGTTTGTTTGGCCCATATTTTAAAAACATTTTCCATTGAAAATCTAAATCTATATATCATGTTATGAAACTCAAAAGGGGTATTCAGAACAATATTAATTACTCATATAACAAATAACAAAAATTTATAATCGTATGATCAAAAGTAAATATTAGAGTATAGAAAATCATATTAGAAAATTTCATTATACAATTACTTAAGAGTGACAAAATGGGTCGTGGTCCGCCAAGTCGCCAATGCATCCGCCATAAAATAGTGAATTGGGTTGGGATTTTGAATTTGTCGCCTACTAAAACCCATTATGTTAAAGACTGCCACTCTAAAATCTGTCCTACCAAAATCTGCCGTTCACCAAAGCCCGCCGCACCTATCCGTTTAGCTTGTCCTACCTTAATCTCACATTTTTTTAGTTAATTATAATAATTCTAATTTTTAATGGTTTTATTTTATATAATAATTTGTGAATATATACAATATTTTTTGAAATAAAATTTGTTCAAAGATGCTTTATAAAAATTGCTCTAAAATATAAATGAAAAATCTAATTGAAATGTAAAAAAAAACTATTAATCTATTAAAAAAATGAAAAAAAAATAATAAAAAAAATAGGCGGGCAAGTCCGCCGCCCGCCATTTTGGCGGGACGAGCTAGATTTTTATGCCCATTTCTACTTGGTGGGCATAGAAAAGATGATTAAAGCATCAATAATTTCTCTCTCGGTTGTTTGCTACTAAATCCACCTTAATTATTCTTTCGATTTAATTATACTAGCAATACTTTTTATATCTAGGACTTTATACTGATGATCATTACATGATTTTACAAGATGATTTCTTCAATTGGTGAGTGTTAACTGAGATTTTCGACATGCCTCAAATTCCAGCATAACAAAGGAGAAGGTGAGAAAACCTTTTAGTGAAGATTTGGTCATGTTCAGAAGCATGATCGACATACATGCTGATAAATTTTCGACATGAAGGTGGTTGACTAAGATGTCGAAACCTATCCTGTAAAAAGAGTTATGGACTTAGTAATTTTCCAAGCAACAAGTGAAGACATTTCGACCAGGGCAGTTGAAATGTACAACGTGGTTGAATAACCACTTTTTGGTCTTGTTTGTATTAAAGAGACGTGTGGAAGCGGTTTTTCGAAGCAAAAGACATGCAACAGAGAACGTGGCATTCAGTGGAGAAAAGTTTGCCTTTAGAAGTTATTTAGATTTCAGTATAAATAGTAGTTCTAACGATAGAATTATGGGTGCCAAAATTACTATCAAACTCACAAAAAACTGAGTACCAAGCGAAGAGAGAAATGAGTTCCAAGAGTGCAATGTACGTTTGATCACCAATTTACATTTATGTAAAGCTTTACTTTTGAATTTACATTAATTTCTCGGTCTTTTCATTGTTGAACTATTTACTTTTCCAGTCAAGTTTAACTTTAATTTATTTGACTTTTATAACATGATTCCGTCCACTGTCGAAATCATTCATACTTTTATTACTTGGACATTATTTGAAAACTTCATGCACATTGTTCTAAGACTCTCTAGCCGGTCTTGCAGGTAACCTTTAATAAGAGACTAACGATGTTTACCAAATTTTAGGATAAATAAATTGCATGTTCAGTGGGACTTTGTGCTAAAATTTTCAAATAAACTGTTATAATCAACTTGTTTTCTCTGTATGTGGTTTGGTTTTGCATGACACACTGCCAATGTTTGTTTATGCATGGACTTGATAAGTGGAAAATAATTTCCTGAAATGTCACGTTGTAACACAAACACTAATACTTATAACCTATCATAGAGCAATGCTCAAAATATGTCATACCAGTTGGTACAACAACTCAAAACGCGAAAATTTTATCCTCTATTAGAACAACAACCGTCACTGACTCGACAACGGTGATTTCGTCGATGCTAGTGTAAAGGGAGATACCGCCACCACAGTCAGAAGGTTCACCTTTAAACCCTTCGAGGACACTTTTTCAATTAGGTGTGATGTCATATGCAGTTTCTTTCGACATCGTGATTTTGTACAGCTGGATTGTTGGATATTTTAGTTTGTTACAAGTGCATAATATTTTGTAAATATTATGCTATCCTATGTAGCACACAGTTTGAAGATTAAAAAGATTTAAGCTGATTTCAAGGAGAATTCTTAGTTTCTAATTATGGGGATGATTTAGGAAACTAATGATTGATGTTCTATCTTTGAGTAGCTAATTCTGCAGTGCCTCTTTCATATCCAACTACATATGTGAAGTCCAAATTCAGTTCATTGAAGGTTATAAATAGAAGGATTCAACCCTAGTACAAGTGTGGAGCTTACAATGTATTTTTATTAGGATTTATGTGTTAATTGTGAGCCTCTCGATTATCATCTTGATAAAAGAGTAGGATTGTGTTTTTGAGTTGTAAGTTATGCCAGTCAGTTCAAAGTGTTTAAGCATTGAATGATTGTGTGTCTTTGGAGCGTTACTTCTGTTATTTTCTAAGTGTTTAGAATTGTTCAGTCATTGTTCTGTGATTGTAAGGAATTTGAGAAGGGTCTCATACCTAGGTGAGCTTGTCGACAATCAATTTTCGACTAGGGAAATAAGCCTTAAGTTGTAAGGTTTCTTTGGCTGAAAAGGGATGAGTTTGTGAGAAACAACATGAGGTATCGACCAGGTTGAAAGGTATTTAACATAAGAGCTAGTTGATGAAAGACATGGAATTCGAAGGCAGTCATTGATAGACTTAGAGGTTGAGGAGCAAGGATTATTGGTGGCAGAAACAACTATCAATGCGCAAGCCAGTAAGAACGTGGAGATGTTCAAAGCAATTTAGGGCAGTTTCTCCACAAAGTCCCAAAGTGGGCTAGTAATCATTGATGGTTACATACTTAGGATTTTTATTTAAGCAAATGCTTGTATTTGTATCAAAGTTTGCATTTCTTCACATTTAGATTATTACACTCAAAGTACTCGCGTCTAAGAGAGAAACGATTTTCAGGCTCAACAATGTATGAATGCTTCCATATTTAAATTCATAGCAATTTCCAGTTTTCACTTTAAATTAAAAGTCTTGTCTTTAATTTATTTATTTTGTAATTATCTTTCACTTTTGCCCTTTTATCCAATATCAACCAGTTTCAACCCAAAAACACTCAAAACACTAAGTCTAGGATTATTGTAGTCGATCCTTTAAGTAACCTTTAAGAAGAGGCTAGCGATTGTTTTGTAGAGAAACAAATTGGCACACCTAGTGGGACATGTTTGTGTTTGAGTCTTCTTGTTTCGTGCATGAAATCAAGAAGTGGTAGAAAAATGGTAGATCCTAGAACTGCTAAAAAGGATCAAAACCTGGGAGGAAGTACCAGCGTGGCGGAGAGTGTGGGTTCTAGTCCAGTGATCATGTCTTCGACGACACCAAACATAATTGCCACAACACAGCCAGTAACAGCAAGACCACCAATGATCATAACTTCTAGGAAATATGTGCCTAGTTTTTCAAGGGAGACACACGATGGTGTGGTCCCGACTACTGGGTATGTGCCTAGTTTTGCAAGAGAGACACACGATAGTGTGATCCCAACTTCTGGATAGTATGTGCCTAGCTTTGCAAGAAATACACATGAATATGGAATGCCAACAATGATGATGGAATGATTTCATAATAGTAGTTTGACATTTGGTGAGAATTGTGCGTTGGTATTTTCACCATATCATACACTGGGGCTGTTGAGAAATCAATTTGGTCGTTCGACTGGATTGGGATTTTTCCAACAAATTATGCCTA